GGACTAGAAGAAAAATTGTAAGCAGACATTAGGGGTTCTGTTTATAGTTGTTATTATAGGTTACAGTCTTGTTGTGACAAAAAGTCTACACTAAAACATTCTTTAGTTTATATTGTGTAATGTGTAGTCCAAGGATAAAAAATGCAGCTTCAAGCTTTCAAGGTGGATATTGGAGAGCTGGCGAAAGATTATGGCCTTTGTATCAATGGTTATAATAAGCTATAAATATCTTAAACTATACAGTGCTAATTAAGATTTCTTTAAACTTCATTCTCAAATTAGATTTTAAAAATTCAAAAGTAAATATACAATAATTTTATTAAAACTTTCTCACACCTCACACATACTTTACTCACAGGACAAGACTTGGAAAACAGTAGCCTAGGGTAATTTTATTTGAGATGTGTGTGACCAGCCAGTTATAATGTTTGGGAAATAAGATTTGCGCAGTCAAAATCTTTGACAGTCCTATCAAGCAGGGCGTGATTATGTTGATTCGTTAATAGCGCACGTTTTAGCTTATCTCGCAAGCACATTACACTAGTAGTAAAGTCAGTCATTCTGAATTTTGGGGTTAAATGTTAAAAATTTTGGTTGATCTAGTGTTGTGATTGTCAGGTGGGTCTGCCTGACAGATTAGAAGGCAGGGTTTCCTCGAGGAACATGTGTAACCCTCATGTAAGGATATTGGAGCACGGAATTTCATTATCTTGTAGAGCTCGAGGTAACTGTGGTATGTATAGAGATTTTGTATAGCTAGAATATTATTATGCTTAAATATCGGTTTGGTGTGCTCTTTTATGAAAACTTTTTGGTCAAGTTTCTGGTGTCCTATAGGCCTAGTACGTGCACAAGTCTTAAACTTGTCAAGGTATGCCAGCCTGTCACCAAATAGTACTCTGAGACAGTACTTCTGAGCAGTAAATAATGAGCTTATACGTTGTTTCGCTGCCCCACCCCATACAGATATACAGTAGGAAAGATGTGATTCGAACAGGGTATAATATAATTGTTGGTGTAGAAATTCTGGAAGGGAGCAGCGAAGTCTACATAAAGTGGATGTGGAATGATTTAGATTTCGCTTAAGAGCTTTAATGTGCTCTTCCCATGATAGGTTCTCGTCAATTATAACACCCAGAAATTTTGCGGATGAAACCTTTTTGATTGGAAAGTTGTCTATAGTTAATACAACTTCAGGGTGTGATAAAGTCTCTAACTTAGAACCTGCCATGGTGGGTTTGAAGTGTATGTAGCAGCACTTGGACATGTTTATATGTAACTTATATGTAAGACTTTAATGATGACAAAAGCTCATTTACATCGAACGGTTACAAGCCAATATTTGGGTAACTTTGTCACACTCAGAATACCATACCTCTATTCTACTGTGAGGTGTCCTCAAAAACCTAAAATATTTTGTTTCGAATAGTTAGCTAATACAGGCACTTGTTTATTGGGAAATGAGGTTAATTCTGTCACAATATATGGAATTTTAAATTTTGGGCGAATTATTTATATCTGATTTTGGTTTGAAAGGCGGGAAAACTTTATCATATGATGACAATGTAGTTGATGCAAGTTAAGATCAATTGATGTTTACATTGTCACAAAAAATGAAACGAAATCGTAAATAGGTTAAAAACAATGATTATAGAATGAAATAGTCTCTTATAATAACTCTTATAATAACTGATGCGATGTGACAAAGTAAACATGTCTTGCCCCTATTTTGAAGATCTATATATTCTATGACTCTATTAGAATTCAACATTCTTCCAGAAAAAAATCTGTAGAATATTGTCCAGAACATCAGAGCTCAAGTTTAACAATTTTAGGTTAAATTTGTCAAAGTCACTAAAAATGTGACAAAATTAACTTTTCCTGCCCCAACAATTTCAAGATAGTGTGTAAAAATTAGCATAGGCTGCTTTATTGCCTATATAAATCAATCCAAACTACGAAAAAGATCTGTTAATCTGATGACGATTACCTAAGTCTAATAATAACTGATGTGACAAAGTAAACATGTCTTGCCCCTATTTTGAAGATCTATAACTCTATTGGAATTCAGCATTCTTTCAGAAACGATTGTGTTATATCCCTAAGCTATTTAGGTATCTCTACTCGAGTTCAAATTATTCAGTGATTTTGATTTTGTGTTAATATTAACCGTTATCCGATTTCAGCCGTTCACTCCTTCTCACGCAGTTAAACAGAGACAGCCAAAACACCCTTCCAGATCACAGCGACGAGACAGAGTTGTTTTGACGGCTTAACCCCGGAGGACAAAACAACAGTTCGAAAGAAAGCAGCTTGGTCGCGGAGCTCGGTGATTGGAGGACGGTGGTGACGAAGAAAGCACGTGATCACTGCAGTTTGTAAAGCCGGGATGCTGATCGAAGGGCTCAGAACGGAGTTGGATCAATCGATTGAGAGTTATACTTTGATAATATATTTTGTAAATTTCTATCCAACTGTATACCTTGTCAAACCCAAATCCAAAGTAAATCAAATACAAAGAGAGAAAGTTCTTATTGTAAATTAAAGACCCACTTGAAATTAAAGCACAAAAGTACGCTTACAACAATTGGTAGAATATTGTCTAGAACATCAGAGCTCAAGTTGAACAATTTTAGGTTAAATTTGTCAAAGTCACTAAAAATGTGACAAAATTAACTTTTCCTGCCCTAACAATTTCAAGATAGTGTGTAAAAATTAGTATAGGCTGCTTTATTGCCTATATAAATCAATCCAAACTACGAAAAATATCTGTTAATCTGATGACGATTACTTAAGTCTAATAATAACTGATGTGACAAAGTAAACATGTCTTGCGCCTATTTTGAAGATCTATAACTCTATTGGAATTCAGCATTCTTTCAGAAACGATTGGTAGAATATTGTCTAGAACATCAGAGCTCAAGTTTAATAATTTTAGGTTAAATTTGTCAAAGACACTGAAAATGTAACAAAATTAACTTTCCCTGCCCCAACAATATCAAGATAGTGTGTTAAAATTGACATATGATGCTTTATTGCCTATATTAATCGATACAAACTACGAACAAGATCTGTTAATCTGATGACGATTACCTAAGTCTAATAATAAGACGGGTTTTCTAATAGTACATAATATAAGGGGTTTAAGCTGGTATATGATTATTTGTTCAATTTCACACATGTTCAGATATCATCAAGATTATGCGACAAAGTAAACTTGTTTGTGCCTTCTGTGTTTTAATTCCTTACGACTATTATGATATAATAACAATTCCTAGCACTTCCAGGCCATCAAATAAACCTACATTACTCAGCATTGCTTATCAGGGCCAGGGTGCCCTAAACATTCTTCACATGTTTTCTTAAACCGTTTCAGTCACCGGCTACACCACCCAGTCTAAGTACCTTCTCTGTTCTAGCCATACCAGGGTCCTAGCCATACCAGCGTTCCTTACGCTCAGTACTAGCACATAACTGGTAGTCCCATAACGAGCACAATCGCCCCTACTTAACAACACTCGTCGACGCTCCCTGTACTTGTATTTTGGACATTTACTTTACTATCAATTAATTGAGTATTAAATAACAATCAGATTAATCAATAACTAATTACCCACATTTCCAGGTCACCGTCAGTCCGAGTGTCCATTGTGATTGCCTGAACTTCAGGTCTTACCCCGAATTACCGTGCAAACATTTTATTGGCGGTTATTCGTGAGTCGAACGTTGAATGGACCGATCTTCCGCTTTCATTCAGGTAAGAAACGGATCTTGCTTCATTAAAGTAATTATGAATAACCTATTTCAGCGTAAAACTAGTTGTTTGATCATTGCATCCTCTTGTAAAATAAACTAAATAATAATAATAATAATAAGTAGGAATTTATACATCGCTTTATAGCCATAAAGAACTCAAAACCCAAAGATTCAGTTCAAACCATCTAAAGCGACTCATGAGTAACATGTACATAAGAACTTATTTTTATGAAGTATGGATTTTATGAGAAAGGTAATACATGATACTTATACAAATACGTTTTCAAAGAGATGAGTTTTTAGTTTCTTTTTAAATAAGACGATATCAGTTAGTGTTCTCAATTGATAAGGAAGCTGATTCCAAACAGAGGGTCCGCAGTAGCTGAAACTTCTCTCGGTTTTACTATAGTTTGAAATAGGAGGAACATTTAGGAGGAAATAGTCTTCTTCAGTTCTTAGTACACGTACAGGTTGACTCTTGATGTCAATACATTTGGTGATATACTCCGGCGCTATGTTGTTGACACATTTGAACACGGTTAGAGCAATCTTATACTCTATTCGTTGTCGTATTGGAAGAAAATGGGCTTTTTTCAGGAATGGAGTGACACTGTCCCATTTTTTGATAGCTTTCCAACCAAACAAGAATCGAACACAGGAATTTTGTACCTTCTGGAGTTTCTTTATGAGAAGATCGGGTAAACCGTATAAGAGTCCATTGCAGTAGTCTAGTTTTGAAAAGATCAAGCAGTGAATGAGCTGTCTTTTTAGATCATAGTTAAGCTTTGAGCCTATAACTCGAAGGTTCCTCAGATGGATGTTGCAGCAACTGATAATTGAATTTATTTGATCTTCAAATGTTAGGAATTGATCAAATAGGACACCTAAACTTTTCACTGTGCGGGATGCATCCACAGGGTCAGCTGCATTGTCAAGTTGTATTGAATCGACTGGACATGAAGAGTAACTGTTCTTGGTCTGTACTACAAGAGCTTCTGTTTTGTTTTGATTCAGTTTGAGTTTATTTTGGGTCATCCAGGTCTTAATATCTTCAAAACAATTTGTTATTCTCTCTTCGATTGTTGACAGATCTCGAAATAGTGGGTTAAACTCAATGTACAGTTGAGTGTCATCTGCGTACAAAAGTAACAAAAGTAGATAGATAAAGTGAATATTTAACAAGTTAACACTTTAACACAAAGGTTTAAAAAAAATTAACAATCACCATGTAAACATGCGAGGTCATGAAAGCCCTGAACAACCCCCTCCTTCATGAAGAGCTAGCTAAAGTGTTCAACGAGTCTTTCGAGAAAAACATTCACATTGAAGCAATAGGAGCAGGCATCCTTACACCACTGGCTAAGCCTGGTAAAACTCGCGGCCCAGTTAAGTCGATATGACCATTGACCCTGCTGAATGTTTCTAGAAAGATCCTGTCACTGATAGTGCTAAACAGAATAGAGAGAGCTGTGGACAACTTCACCGGACCGTTCCAAGCTGCCTACAAAGCTGGCAGGAGCTGTGCCGACCTAGTTTGGGCACAGAGCATGCTCATATTTGTAGTAATGAAGAAGGAGTTTGAATGGAACAAAGTGAGTATTGACATGTCAGCTGCCTTCAATGCCATCCGCAGAGGTACAACAATCAGACTACTAGAAGCTGCAGGATGCTCCAGAGACGACCTGAGGCTTGTACAATACCTCATGGCTAACACCACTCTAGTAGCCAGAGTGTGTTCTACTGACTCAGAGATGTTCTCTTTCAACATAGGAGCCTCCCAAGGAGACAGCACAGCTGGTAAATTGTTTACCCTCAATCTAGCTGGAGCTGTAGTGCACATAAGAGCAGTCCTCCCCTCAAGACCCAACCCTCCGATAGCCGATAACCACATGCCTCTTGAGTCCGGCTATTCAGACGATGTAAAGAAGATTGGTGAAGATATGGAGGAGTTACAGGATATCTTTCAGATCTCCAAGAATATTCTCAGTGAATGGAGTCTCTTTGTCAATGACACAAAGACAAAGTTTACCAGAGTGTATTTAGAAGAAGTTGGTGCCTGCGACGAGTGGGATAATGAGCTAAGAGGAAAAGAGGAGTGGAGAAACGAGACGCTTCTTGGTACTAAGCTTAGATCAGAGCAGGATGTTACTAATAGAATAAATAAAGCTAACACCGCCTTCTGGTCATTTGACAAGCTGTGGTGCCAGGGATCAGAGAGGAGTCAGATAACTGAAAAGAGAAAGATCAAACTCTACGACTCACTAGTAGTATCAGTGCTCCTGTACAACTGCTGCTGCTGGGCCGTACCTCAGCATGTTCTAGAGTCTGTAGATGTTTTTCAGAGGAAGCACCTCAAGCGCATCCTACACATCTATTGGCCTAGCTCAATATCTAACAAGGCCCTCTACGCTCGTACCCAGACCAGGCCCCTTTCCGAGAGAGTGGAAAAGGCACGGTGGACAATGCTAGGTCATGTTCTACGCAGTGACAACGACACGCCTGCCTACCAGTCTCTGTTATTTGCTACACTAGGATGTCAAACGCTAAAGGGACGAGTGGGTAGACATAGGACTAATTTGTATGATATTATTGTGAAAAAGGACCTATTTAAGAGACAAATTTATTTGAAAAACGAAGATGATTTTACCAACTTAGTGAACTTAGCAAGAGATAGAGTAGGATGGAGGAGTTTATTTACTTTGAGACATATTGAACGAATGAGTCTTCGTAAGCGTAAATAGGCCAGCACTTTGCTGAGCCTCTTTAGGTGCTCTTTTGTTTATAGATGTTATTATATATGTAAACATGTAAACGAGCAATTTATGAATTTGTGAAAAGGTGAAATTGTGAAAATCAGTTCTTTACGTGTCAACTGTCATGTGATACAGTTTCTATGTGAAACTGAAAAATATTATTTGTATTTTATAGCTGGACAATGACCGTTGCTAATGACCGCTGCTAATGTTATGTATATGTTACTATCTTGCTGTTCAAATATGTGTATTGCAATGAACATATATTTTTTCGACGATGTATCAAAACATTTAACATTCAGGCTTTCGGAGATGACAAAGATTAACATGACGGTAACAGCAACTCGGGACGATTTGTCACTGTTGTCAACGACTTCTCGGGCAGAAAAGCGGACGGACTTCGCAGATTCGCTCCCAAAGCGAGCAAAAAAAAGCGAAAAAGTTTCCCGAAAGGAAACTAAATTATGGTTTCGGATCAGACTCTGATTTCGAGAATGATGTATGATTTGGTCGAATTTTATGAATTTAAATCTGATTTTTGTTTTATTTTATTGCATCATTTATTGCTTTATTAATTTTTTCTTTTTTACAAAACAAGTTGTTCTCATTTTAATACAGTATAATGAATGAAACCATCTCCTCTTGATTCCCTGTTCTACGTAACACTTATTATGAGTCTCCGATCGCTTAAAAGAGGAAAAATGTATCTGTTCATTGTTCAAGTAGGTCATTAAAATGGATTAGTTGCTTACCCAAATATTATATTCAGAAAAACAGCAAGCGAGCATTATTGGGATTGTTGTTAAAGCAACCTCAAACAAATTGATAGATTATTAATACACAAATGCTGTATGCTATTGAGAGTACACTTACAGCGAACCACGCTGATAGTATGCTATAATTTCAAATAATACTGGATATAGTGAACTGTATTTCCCAATAATACTGGAGATAAGTGTACTGTATTTTCAAATAATACTGGAGATAAGTGTACTGTATTTTCCATTAATACTGGAGATTAGCGTACTGTATTTTCCAATAATACCGGAGATAAGTGTACTGTATTTTCCAATAATACTGGAGATAAGTGTACCTACTGTATTTTCCAATATTACTGGGGATAAGTGTACTGTATTTTCCAATAATACTAGAGATAAGTGTACTGTATTTTCCAATAATACTGTATTTTCCAATAGTACTGGAGATAAGTGAACTGTATTTTCCAATAATACTAGAGATAAGTGTACAGTATTTTCCAATAATACTGGAGATAAGTGTACTGTATTTTCCAATAATACTGGAGATAAGTGTACTGTATTTCCCAATAATACTGGAGATAAGTGTACTGTATTTTCCATTAATACTGGGGATAAGTGTACTGTATTTTCCATTAATACTGGAGATAAGTGTATTGTATTTTCCAATAATACTAGAGATAAGTGTACTGTATTTTCCAATAATACTAGAGATAAGTGTACTGTATTTTCCAATAATACTAGAGATATAGGTGTACTGTATTTTCCAATAATACTGGAGATTAGCGTACTGTATTTTCCATTAATACTGGGGATAAGTGTACTGTATTTTCCATTAATACTGGAGATAAGTGTATTGTATTTTCCAATAATACTAGAGATAAGTGTACTGTATTTTCCAATAATACTAGAGATAAGTGTACTGTATTTTCCAATAATACTAGAGATATAGGTGTACTGTATTTTCCAATAATACTGGAGATTAGCGTACTGTATTTTCCAATAATACCGGAGATAAGTGTACTGTATTTTCCAATAATACTGGAGATAAGTGTACTGTATTTTCCAATATTACTAGAGATAAGTGTGCTGTATTTTCCAATAATACTGGGGATAAGTGTACTGTATTTTCCAATTATACTGGAGATAAATGTACTGTATTTTCCAATAAAACTAGAGATAAGTGTACTGTATTTTCCAATAATACTGGAGATAAGTGTACTGTATTTCCAATAATACTGGAGATAAGTGTACTGTATTTTCCAATAATACTGGAGATAAGTGTACTGTATTTCCCAATAATACTGGAGATAAGTGTACTGTATTTTCCTATAATACTGGGGATAAGTGTACTGTATTTTCCAATAATACTGGAGATAAATGTACTGTATTTTCCAATAATACTAGAGATAAGTGTACTGTATTTTCCAATAATACTGGAGATAAGTGTACTGTATTTCCAATAATACTGGAGATAAGTGTACTGTATTTTCCAATAATACTGGAGATAAGTGTACTGTATTTCCAATAATACTGGAGATAAGTGTACTGTATTTTCCATTAATACTGGGGATAAGTGTACTGTATTTTCCATTAATACTGGAGATAAGTGTACTGTATTTTCCAATAATACTAGAGATACAAACAGAGTAACTCTACCCCTATGTCTGAGCGTGCTGAGTTATCTAGGTGGAAGATGCTAGGACACATACTGAGGAGCGATGAAAGATCACCAGCTCAAGCTGCGCTGTGCTTTGCTGTCGAGATGTGTAGTGAAGTTGGTAGACTCGGGGCTCACAGACGTAACCTCCTACACCACCTGAAGGTTGACCTCTGGAAGCGTTTCATCTTGCTGGAGTCGTATATGATGATATTCTTCATTTGAGAGAACTTGCTAGTAACCGTGGTTACTGGAGTAAATTGTTCGACTTTATACTTGAGTACAAGTCAATTTGAGTTTTGGGACATATAATCTTACAAAGGATCACGTTTAGGTTCTAAATTATTTTAGGATTGTTGACATTTGTAAGATTGACATGTTTGATAATAATAATAATAATAATACTAGAGATAAGTGTACTGTATTTTCCAATAATACTAGAGATAAGTGTACTGTATTTTCCAATATTACTGGGGATAAGTGTACTGTATTTTCCAATAATACTAGAGATAAGTGTACTGTATTTTCCAATAATACTAGAGATAGGTGTTCTGTATTTTCCAATAATACTGGAGATAAGTGTACTGTATTTTCAAATAATACTGGAGATCAGTAAACGACCGGGGGTAGGATTTGGCCGGGGCCGGGAATGTCCAAATTTTGCCGGGGCCGGGAATTGGCCGTTCTGGAATTTGGCCGGGGCCGGAGCCGTGAATTTAATAAATCCACGGCCAAGTTAGAATTTTTCAGGACTTAGGATCTGAACTTATTTTTACATGACAATATAATGTTCGTATCAATTGAACAGTTTAGAAGGTAATTGGATTTCATATATATTTTGGTAAAATAATTTTGTTCAGCTGAAACAGTAAATAAAAGTTGGCACTCTGGACATCATCCTTTCAAAATTGAAAATCCATTTTAAGATTTATATGAAAGTTTTAGTCCGATTTCGATCAAAAATTCCCGGCCAAATTCCCGGCAAAAATTGAAAATCGGCCGGGGCCGGGGCCGGGAAGAAATAGCTCCCCCGGCGCCGGGATTTCACGGCGCCGGGAATCCCGGTCGATTACTGCTGGAGATAACTGTACTGTATTTTCCATTAATTATATTGTAGGTTAGTGTACTGTATTTTTCAAATAATACTGGAGATAAGTGTACTGTATTTCCAATAATACTAGAGATAAGTGTACTGTATTTTCCAATAATACTGGGGATAAGTGTACTGTATTTTCCAATAATACTAGAGATAAGTGTACTGTATTTTCCAATAATACTGTATTTTCCAATAGTACTGGAGATAAGTAAACTGTATTTTCCAATAATACTAGAGATAAGTGTACAGTATTTTCCAATAATACTGGAGATAAGTGTACTGTATTTTCCAATAATACTGGAGATAAGTGTACTGTATTTTCCAATAATAATAGAGATAAGTGTACTGTATTTTCCAATAATACTGGGGATAAGTGTACTGTATTTTCCATTAATACTGGGGATAAGTGTACTGTATTTTCCATTAATACTGGGGATAAGTGTACTGTATTTTCCATTAATACTGGAGATAAGTGTACTGTATTTTCCAATAATATTGGAGATATAAAGAGAATTGTATTTTCCAATGTGGAAAGCATATTTGAAGTCTATTATTTTGCTTTCCCAATTATATATTAGCAATAAGGAAGTGCTACTACTTAAATGACAACGAACCACTCTGACTACTGACAAAAAGAGTTTTGATGTCTGTATAGACTTATCAGGTGGCCTTTTTAATGATCCAGATATGGCAATATCTGGTCTCTGAAAACCACAAATATTGACTTATCCGCGGGCGCGGAACGTTTTGAGTGAACTTTGCTAGTAGGCAGAACATGTGGTTCGCCGGTGCTAAATTATCACAGATAACTAACGCGCATTTAGGAGACGCGCAAAAGTTGAAATTGTTATTACGGTTTGGGCGAGCGATTTAGAAAGAGCCGGGGCGAAAGCCACGATACAGCCGAGCACTCGTGCGCGGTGGGTCTACAAGGTGAGAGTTTACCTGGGGACCCCAGGCTATTATATTCATAAAGAATAAAGATTTGGCGGAATGACAGGCTGAGCGCGGCCCAGTAAGGTGAGAGTGAGACAAAGCATGATGCGACAAAATCAAACTTATCCAGCCATACCATTGACCATGCTGCATGTGGTATGGCGACGAAAAACATAACTACCTCGTGGCGCTTCATTCCCTCTGCTAGCCTTCGTTTCAATTTCGTTTCTAATTTTATTTTTATCTCTATATTCGAGAGAAGCGGGCCATAGATCTGCAAGCTGGGTGGCGAAGAACATTGACTGATTGATGATTGAGGCCTGGGGTTATTAATATTACAACTTAATTTGTAGGTTTACAACTTGACGGATGTTACTCGTCTAAATTTCTTCGAAGTAGCGCGCGCCGCTTTCTTCTCGAAATGGCCCGACGGCACGAGCTACGAAGTAGCGTGCGCCGGGCCAGATCATTAACAATTAACAATGGTCAAGTTTACAACCTACCAGGACGCGCGCCGAGTCATGGACTCGTCGACGGTCCTGTATATGGAACAGATATTTTACGAGTATCACCCGTAAACAACTTAATACGATGTACAATTTAGGACATAATCAATAACACACAAAACCCGAAATACTTAGCACGCATCTTCATTCATCATTCTCCTTACTATATAGCGTGCTATATCACTCTACAGTTAAGTCGATCTTCGAGTGTTTAAAAGTCACGTGACAGTCGAGTGTAGAGTGATTAAGCATCATCATGTTCAGTGCTGTTCACTTTTCTCACTGTACATCACTTTTAAGACCACTCCTTTACCACCAACATTGCAGCAAGGTTACCTTGCTGTGCTAAAAAATACCAATAAATTAACAAATACCATGTACCAAATCCATCAGTCCCATGTGCTAATCTTTAGCCTACTCTCTCTGTTCTATGATGTGGTAGAGTTTCACATGCAACAACCCCCATTGACCATTGTGCGCTGTCGGCAGAAAAAACTGCCAACGATTAACGATTAACACTAACAGAGAAGCTTAGTTCAAGATTACGGACTGTGTCAGTTGTAATTAAACTGTAATCCTCCATTACAGCCAGTATGCTGGTAACACAACTGACTGAGAAGTGAGGCTATTCCATGTCAGGCACCAACTAACCGACTAATACAAATCGAAGTTTCCCTTCAAATTCCTAAATTTCAAGGCATTTTATTTTTCTCCGGAGAACACTGACAGTAAACTCAAAACTGTTTTTATTATTTGGAAACAGATAAAACAACCTTCTAAATGCAGTAAATGAAAAGCAAACTACAATCGAATTCTAATTTTTGAATTGCTCATATTTCAGGTTAGTCTGTTGAAGAAACTATAGTAAGAGTTGTATTCTTAGACTAGGCCTTATAGTAAACTCCCGATCGTTTTCTTCTCAAAAGAGCCTCGCTAGCCGTTTCGACGGTGATATCAGCTGTTTTAGTTCTGAAGTTCTTCTTAGCTCTGCATCTGTACAGACCTACAAGGAATTATATTTTAGAACCGAGTGGAATTAGTTAATTACTAATTTAGTTGTATCATCAACCAAATAAGGTAATCATAAATGGTTATTGGTTATTCAGAATAATTTTTCATACTTAAACTTTTCGTTTCTCTTACCATTGTTATCAGCGGAGATTTTCTTGATTTTCAGCGTGAGACCCTTCACACCATCTTCAAGTTCTGTAAAATTTTCTCCGCCATCACTGGAGAAAAACCAAACAACACTGTTAGGTTTGACAACACTTGAACACTCCAAGGTGAGGTCACTTCCTACTTCTACATCTTTGATCTCTTCTTTTCCTTCTTCTACCCAGAGCCAATCCTCTACACAGTCAGGACAGCAAGCATCGTCTTTGTACACCAATTGTTCCTGAAGTAAACAGGGGTCGTTGAATGACAAGATAAGTATTTATTAGTGTGCATAACTTACTGATCAGAACCAGCACGACAATTATTGGCTCTCTTAGATCATTCATTTATTAACATCAACACCAGTTACACTTCAACCTATGACTCTGTATAAATTCATTCGTTATTAAATGTGAAATTGGTAAACTTATGGCGGGTTGGACACTGTGAAAATAGCTAATTAATACTTGGGCGACGTAGCCGAGTCAAGCAATTAAAGTCAAGTGTAAGATTTGTTTCAAAACTTTACTAAACTTACCGTTTTCCTGCACTTTTTGCAGACGGTCTTGGCACAGATAACCTCGCCCTGTTCTCTGCACTGACAGTCTTGGCAAATGTTGGCATCGTGCCATGTTGCACCAACCTGTACAAAGTAACCCAGTAAATTTGCAAACGATCATGTTTACTAACTACTAAGTCCAAGTTTTAAGCTATTACATCATTGTGACTGAGTAGTTGATTATCAGGAGAAATCTAACAACTTACATCCTTGAAACCACCCTCGAAAGCACATTTACACTCGGCAGCCTCGACACACTTGCCATCTTGCAGGTAAGTATTCTTGGGACAGAAACACCCCTCGTTACACTGTCCCTTCATCTTACCACATTTTGGGTTCTTGTCAGCACACGTTGCTGGACAATAACTTCCGCACGAGTCGTAGCTCAGTCCCTCCTCGCACGTCAGTGCTGAGGTGAAATAATTGTTATACTACTTTGTCACGGCTTAGTAATATAACATTGAAATGTAATCGCGTACAACAATGGCCCTGATTGCTACAAACAGCCCCCAAACTCACGGCAATAAGCGGCCTTGTCTCTCCAGGCTCCCAAAGTAGTGACTCCCTTCTCCACGCACTCCTTCACAAAGTTTTTAATGGCGTGACAGGCACACGAGGCGTCATAACAGGAACACACGTCGTATTTACAGTTGTGTATAGCTGAGTCCACGTCTATTAAGTCGCTACAGGCATCAAATGGTGCTTCTAAGGTAGTTTTAGTTAAAGTAATCTCACAGCATCTCTATACATATTGTTGCTGATTCATTTTTAGGCTTAAATAAATATGTTTTCAAATAAACTTTCCAAGCAGAAGGCTCTGGAGAATCGTTTTTAAAAGTTATAACGGCCATAAAAAAAAATACCACACGTATAAAATAGAGCTGAATGAAGCTGCCCATACCTTTAAGGACGTCACAAGCCTCATCAGCGATGGGTGCTGCGTCAGGGAAGAATGTACCATCACACGGGTGAGCAGGCTGGGGCTCAGTCTCACATTCGTCATCTGAGAGTACAGAATATTTAACATTCCTATTGCTTGCGAGACTTGAAATGAGAGAGAGAGGTTGAACACTTTTGCAAACAGCACTCACACGGTTATCTTACCTCCATATTTCCAGGACCAGCCGAAGTCACCGAGGTCACCGTCTTCCCCATCCCTGGTTATCTGATCATTCTCAGTGTTGTCGTCCCAGGTTCCACACAGACCGGAAGTTCCCTCAAAGTACCTCCCGTGGACGGTAGAGGAAACTGTACTGTTACCATCCCAAACTAAACTTAGAGCTTCAAGCTCGTTCACCAGCAACAACTTTACTATTACCTAAAGTTGGGTAAAGTGTACACTTTAGAATACATCTAAAGCTAATAGTGAGCATGTCTACTCGAAATATCAAAGTTTCGCTCAGAGGTTAGTACCACCACACATAATATGACCTTGAGTAATAGATAAGCAAAAATAGATATACATAGGAATTCAATATGTATATACTTAGTTGAAGCTTATATCTCTGAAAGTGAAATTCACTGTTTGTGGTATACTTACGCTGCTTCCAGCTTTTACGATCGACATCGACTCTTTTCCTCTCCACGATTTAGCATAAGGAAGGAACACTGATCCATCGTTTACTTTCACTTCTCCTTCCGGTCCAAGGTATACATTTAACGCTGAAATGAGTTGTGGAATATGTTAATTCTGTAATTTACGACTAAAAAAGTAAATTCGCTGTTAACTCTCTCAATCAGTCAGACTGTTTGCTTTACCAGCCTGTTTTAAAATCACATTTCCATTCCCAGATCAGTAGTAAAAGGAAATCAAGTGATCCAAACTAAAAGATGAACCTTGTGATAGACCTATCCAACAACACCAAGTACCCTGATGCCCAAGAATACATTGGCTTCACCCCCTGGACTGCCACATACATGCACCTCCACTTTTGGCTGGTTCAATCTATAGGTCTGACAGGTAATTCAATTGTGATCTACACTTCTGTTAAGTTAGGTTCATTGAACATGGACAGTGTCTCGTCTGTTCTCTTGGAGAACGTGGCGGTTGCTGACATAATGATAGCAGTGATTGGGGGCTGGCCGGTGTATATCACATTCTGTGCTAAAAGATGGGTTCTTGGAAAAGCTGGCTGCATTTTGGCTTTGTACCTGACCAATGTCGGAGGAACTGCTGAGATTCTTATCTTGGCTGTGATTTCTCTGTATCGGGGGATGATGCTCAAAGATCCATTCCTCTTCAGGGGAGTTTCTACAGTAAAGATAAAGATAGGGCTACTTATGATCTGGCTCATCTCTCTGACCCCAGCTGTCATTTCAATGGGCACTTCCAGCACCGTGTACTACGAGCCTAAGAAACTCTCCTGCACCTCTAGTGCGTATACCTCTTCCTCAACGTTCATTATTGTGCTACTCGCACTTGGAATCTTGATTGGAGTGCCGATGATCTGCATCCTAGTGAGCAATACTTTCATGCTGGTCGCCTCCATCCGTTACAAACGGAGAAGAGCGCGAATGATGTCCGGCACTGGAGGGGATGACAGCAACATGAAAGCAGTCGTCACCGTTAACGTAGTGTGTTGGCTCTTCATCTTCTCTTGGAGCCCCTTCGTCCTGAGGATCCTCTGTGATGCTTCAGGTGTCCCACTCTCAGTTTGATTTTTCATTTTTCAGGCACACTTCCTCTCGCTGAATATAGTCCTTAACCCGATAATTTACATTCTGACGAACAGAAGTTTCCGAGAAGTCGTCAAGAAAAGGGTTTTTGGAGCGATATTTGTACGGTGCACCAAGAGTCAAGTTGGACCTGACATCGGAAGAATACAAGAAGAAATCACTAATGCCTAATTGGGATGCAAAACCGGAACTTTTCAAAATATTAGGTGTTGAACAGAATAATATTAAGTATTACTTACTTTTAAAGTTAATTTCTACAGCGTCATTCCAAGCAACCTTATCGTTGTCACCTCTATGCTTATTAGTTCCAACGACAGTAAAATCTTTCGTTTTTGCCTAGATGATAGAACTCAAACTGTTAACAAGAATTTATTAATTTGAATAACGCCATGAAGCTTTCCGATTATTTTAAAGATTACAGTGATTTTTAATTTTGATTTTCTTAATTATTTTCGATTTATTTTCTTGATATACTGTCAGAAATTATCTTAGTATATAGTATATACTATATAGTATAGTGTTCTCACTTAGTGATATCGTAGTGTTATAGACTTAAAACATTGTGAAATATCTTCTTTGTAAACTTACCAGGGTAAATCTACAGTTACCACCCTGGAAATCGTGTCTGTAACCATCAAATGATTTGTAATGAGGATCTCCCGTCACAAGGCACGTGGCAGGCACTGAGGATTTATTATTTTAGACTAAACCTCGATAACATTTGGTAAATCATCTCATACGACTACAGACCATAATCTGTGAGGTGAAGTAATCTACATATTCTACATATTCTACATATTCTGCATATTCTACATAATCTATATATTCTTACATCTAGAACATTTGAGCTCGCAGTTTTGTTCGTAGTACTCTTCTTCCTTCTCAGGATCACAGGTAACCTCCTGCTCAATACAATGACACTCCACATCTCCTGTTACCGTACACAAGCACGACTCAAACTCCCCGTTCATCCACGTTTCTTCTTCCTTTAAAGTGACAGTTTAACACTTTTCATAATTTCTGTTATGTCAAGATATCATAAATTACATTTTATTTCTTACAGAATAGAAAAGAAGCCTGTTTGGTTGGTACTCAACAGATGAACAGTTTATAAACAGTTTATAAACAGTTTATAAATACAGTATACAGTATAGATACTCACAACATATTCCTTGTTATCCTCAGTGTCACAGACTTGTAGAACCTGAAGTTCAACGTCCACACAGTCCAGAATATCGTCCTTAGTGACACAAACGTGATACTCTCCTTCGTCTTCGTCTTGTGCGTTACATATCTGGTGAAATGTTGTGTTAGTGGAATTACTGGGATACAAAATGGACAACTATTGTCTACTCCTCAGGGGGAGGACATCGCTAGTGATGATTCTGTTGGGGAATACCTATTAAACATTCACAGAGTTACCGACTAGAAACTAAACCTACTAAAAATACAGATAAACCAATGATTTAAAATTGTAAAACATACATTACATATTAATTGTACATTCATTTTACCTTAATAGTTTTTCCTCCGTCGAGGATAGAAAAGTCTTTGTCATCAAAGTCGACAGCAGCATCAGCAACTCCCTTGGTCCATACAAAGTCTTTCGTTTTGAAATCAAGATCACCGTTAACTTTAACCTGTAATTAATAATAGTTTCCAAAATCTGTTACGTAACAATTTACAACAATATAATTCTAAGACAATATTTTAGTATTGAGACTAACACATTATAAAACTGGTAGTTTTATGACTCCTGTGTTACACGACTTAACCAGATCATGTGTTATAATGTGTTATAATGTGTTATAATGTGTTATAATGTGTTATAATGTGTTATAATGTGTTATAATGTGTTATAATGTGTTATAATGTGTTATAATGTGTTATAATGTGTTATGATTTGTTATAATGTGTTATAATGTGTTATAATGTGTTATAATGTGTTATAATGTGTTATAATGTGTTATAATGTGTTATAATGTGTTATAATGTGTTATAATGTGTTATAATGTGTTACACTGTTACACACCGAGAGGGTCTGACATTCTCCGTCTTTAACAACTCTAGGACTATCTCCATCCAGGTCGATGTAATTCTTTGTAGGTTTAGGTTTGACAACAAAGTCAAATGTACATTCTCCGACCACACCGTTGAAGATTATTTCAGTAACGTAATCGTTGTCATCAAGTAGATTTGCTGGCTGAAATTGATCAATTCGTAAATCTTTAAGTTTAACTTACCCAGTAGAACTTCAGTTGTGTAATTTGGGTGTTCTATCTACTATTACTGCGATATTCTGCAATTTCCGTGTTTCTTGAAGCTGATCTTCAAAAGACACATTTCAACTTACGTCTATAGTGAGGGTCAGTCTATCTTCGCTGAACTTAAAGTTATCTGGTTTGGTGTCATCATTTATCTCTTCCCCGCTCAGCTTGAATTTCCACGTGATCTAAAAAAGCACGGTAAATGTAAGGCTGAGGATATTAATACAAAGAGCAGATCTTACTTCATAATTTAGGGACAACAAAAATTGGGAGATATAAAGTTACTTACAATAAGGTTATAAGTTTCGATATAAAGTCGTGTGCTAATTAAAAAAGTAACATAATAAGAACACTGATTTGACTAACAAACTATACAATCATTGTGATAGCACTTTTAAAATTGATAGGGGAATCATAAACTAAACTCACATCATCTGGAGAGACGAGAACCTCGTCATGAAGTTTACACTGGAGAGTGCTGGGTCCCTCTGTCTCCATCACCTCTATTTTATCCTTGCTTTCATCGGTCCAGTCAGCTAGACAGAACGGACAGCAGCTTCCAACCGTGCTCACTGGTACCTGGACAGTGGACATGTTTAGGTCAGAGGATAGCTATTTGACAGTTTCAGGTAATTTTATCCAAGAGTTATTAGTTTGAAGGTGACTATACTTTGGCCAATGAACCAGAAAATGTAGTTTTCATCATTATCCATTATCCAACCTGTCCTTTGGGACACAAGGCACACGATGTCTTGGCGCACTCAATAATGCCCCCGTCTTTGCAGTTGCACGTTTCACATTTTGCCGTGTCGTTCCATGATGCTCCGTTGTCTACGAATGAGCCCTCGAAAATACACTTACAGTCGACTGAATCAATACATTCTCCATCTTGGAGCACCGTCCCTAAAACAATTAAATTAGAAAATATCGAATATAAAATCCTACAGTAAAACACAAGTTTTCCTGACCAGGTCAAAAAATTAACAACATTACAACTATAAGGATCATACAGTTACAACTATGATTGTGTTTTAGTTTCAGACAAAGAGCTACCTTCAGGGCAGTAGCAGCCCTCAGTACACTGTTCTTTGCAATCGTCTGGTGAGGGGTCAGCGCATGTAGGGTAACATCCTTTACCACAACTTTCAAATACGAATGTATCTGGACATTCCATCGGGCAGAATGATGATGATCTCCAACCTGCGGATGATGTAAGCTTGAAAAAGATTTTAAAAATATTGAGAATATCATCTGCTGAAATTTCCGATTTATTGGATTTATTTGGAGATAAATTGTAGAATTTTTCTTTTCATATCATTTTGAGTTTGTTAATTGTTTAATATTTCATTTTGACCCACCTACAACAGGACTGCCAGCATCAGCACATTTATCAGCATAAGCCTTGGCGTTTTCACAGACGTTATCATCCTTAGTTGGCTCTGTGCATACATCGAACAAACAAGCCTGAGGATTTGAGCAGGTTATCACCAGGTTATCACCAGGTTGTTTCTTTAAGAAATTCAAGTAGAGTACTTGGTACTAAATGTATAGATTGGGAATTAATTAAGAAGATGAATAATAAATATATTTAATACTTAAAATCCATGTATCCTGGCCGGCACTACTATATATACCTTGTAAGCAGCTGTGGCATCAACAGGACAACTCCTAAATGGTTCCTGTTTAAACTTAGAACAGTACTGCTCGGCCCAGCTTTTCTCCTCCCTGGAAAGTTTATCACAAGGGTCTTCAGGCTCTGGTGGGTTGGGACATCCGTCATCATTAGAAACCCTCCATGAGTTACCCATGATGGTGGGTGATCCTACCACTTTACCGTCTCGGTCCATGAAATCGTTGTTTTTGTTTCCGTCCCAGAGCCCGCAGATACATTGTGTTCTTTCATAGTACGTTCCATGAATCTGATCATTAAAGTTTTATAAAGATGGTTTATAAGATTTTATATCTTAATAGTTAGAAATTTCATTACGACTTGCAGTTGTAGGAATAAAATAATTTCACAACAACAAATGATTATATTTATCAAAAATATCATGATCGCAAAAGCATTTCACGATTATTTGAGTGTTTCATTGACTGCTAACTAAAATACATACGTATTTGTACATGTTTTCTGAATTTGTAATCTCACCCAGATATTGTAGTACCCAGGTTGACATTGAACCCTCAACATTTTCTGGTTCTTGATGTGGATCTCACAAAATTGGGGACTAGGACAGTACACAAAGTCCTGGGTGTTGAAGAACTTCTTGAAGGGTGTAGCAACATTTCGTTCAGCCTCGCCCTTTGGAGTGTGAAGTAGCGCCCCTCTCATCTCAAACTGATCACCATCAAACAACACTTGACAGTAACTAGGAGGAGATTGTATCGTTAACTTCACTTGTATTTTTCAATTTCTGTCAGAAGATGCTTTATCATTTTGCCAATTATAATAAACAATTTATAATAAATACAGGGCGATTCAAAAATATTGTTTTGCCAATAATAATAATGCCGTTGAAAAATATCCAATGAAAAATATCCAATGAAAAATGAAAACTATTTTAATGTTATACTTACTCTACATAGGCAACTACGGGGCCACCCCGATTCTTGTTTCGAACTTCAAAGTCATTGGTTTTTGCCAAACAGTAAGTACATGTTCCTTGGAAGTCGAAAGCGCGGCCATCAAACGAGACGTAATGCGGGTCTCCAGAAGCGTAACACGTGGCACTGGCTGTAATAAAAGTGAAATTAGCTTACAAAATTGAGTTATTAGACTCTATGAGATTTTTATGTTGGTAAAAGTTGTTTTGCAGCCATGACAATCAAACCAGTAAGAAAGGGCTGCTACTCACGTGGAACACATCTGGCGCAACAGTCGTGTCCTACAGCTGGGATGGTGTTTCCACTACAGGATACCCCCTGATCCTCCGCAGATCTGCATCCGCACCTGACACACCAGACAATTATTTCTCCTCAAGTCAAAAGATGACATTGTTAATCATACTATTTCAACTCTAATCAACTGTGAATTTCACCACCAAATTTTCTGTCATATCACCAAGTCTAATCAATCGGATATCATAAGATTTCCATCATTCTTCCAAATAATACCAGAACTCACTTGATCTGTCCGTAGAGCTGACACTCGCAAAACTCACACTTGCTCATTCCGGAGTCCTGGTAGCTCTCCCCAGGTCTGGTCACCACTGTCTTACCCCCTTCACCACGTGACACACAGTTCAGCTCTGAGGGTTATCTTGTCATTGTTCTACTAACCAGTAGAACGTAATACGAAATAAGTCTGTAAAGTCTAAATTTTTTGATAATTTTAGAAACACACTGCAATAAACTTGCTCATGTAATTTAAAGTGCTATTACCTTGGCACACTTGCATATTGTTCACGATCATTTTGGATTCCATGTTGTTCCTCATGGCAGTAGCCACTTTATTGATGGGAGGGAAGAAGGGAGTAAATTGTGATTCCAGACCTCCGTTCACATATAGTTCACCTGATAAAACACTGATTAATTTATCCAGTGAATGCTTCCCCGATTGAAATTACGGATTAGATATAGAAAATCTAAACCAAATCTAATTATATATTTGGCATTTGAGCATCTAATTCTGTACTCACACCCAAACAAAGAATTAACGAACTGACCTTTTCCATTCTCGATTTTGATAGCCAAGTTAAACTGGTTCCTAACAGGTTCAGTGCAAGTTCCGAAGTCTCGTCCGAAGAGGAGACCGTCCTCTACATATCCCAACTCCCAGCAATGTGAGTCAGCGTGCGGTCTGACAGGGTTAAAAGAGGGTTAAAAGAGGGTTAAAAGAGGGTTAAAAGAGGGTTAAAAGAGGGTTAAAAGAGGGTAACTTGTTAGTTTAAGTGATGAGAAATTAATTACAAACTGTTTTACTCTACTCTCCTGTTAAAAGTCTTTAGTTAGAAACAACAATTTTTTTAAAACATAACTCTACTACAGCTGATATTTTGGAAAACTTTGAACTTTGCCAGCTCAGCGTGGAATCAAATAATAAAACAGTGCTGAGTGCTCATACTAGTACCTGACATAAGCGATATCGTAATTCTTTGAATCGATCATGTTGAAAGAGAGTCCAAGGAAACCGTAACTTGCAGAATATTTTCCCATGTCAATCATTTTTAAGTCTGCCGATGCAATGTAGTTCTTTGCCTTTCCGAAACTACCTGTGTATTGTTCATTATTTGTTGGGGATTCGTTAATAAATTTTTCATTAGTTAAAAAATAAAAATTTCAGAAAAAACATAAATGATAATATATGAATCTTCTAAAACTGTAAGAATATGGAAGCAAACCTTGTTTGGCTTGTCCATAGATAGGACCGGAGACACAGAAATCAGAGTTCTCAACATCAGACAGGGTCGCCTGTACGATAGATCCATTGTCGTCCACAATCCTCGACTTACAACCGTCAGTTGCTACGGACTGGAATTCCGTGAAACACGAATAAGTATCACCAACTGAAATAATGACGTTTATATTTCAGTTACCAGCAGAGATTAGATCAATTTCTCAACTTTATATTAAATTCAGCATTATGATAGCCTAAAAGATTATAAACAAACCAACGGGGTAAAGGTAAAGACGTGTTAATTTAAGGATAACCCCGTTTCAGGTTTAGTGTTAGTACAAATCAAACTTACTTATTTCAGTTTCCGACTGGGTGCTACCCTCGGCGGAAGTAAGACTGAAAGTCAAACAAAGATACGCAAATAACTTCAGCAAATCCATAGTGTCTGCTGATTATCAACGAAATAGAGAAAAAGAAGCGTAATAGCTGATGTTAGCTTGAGCAACGTCTTCATGCACCACACCAAAAGATGTCTCCCTCTCCAGTAAAGCTGATGATCGGGGAATTTGAGGGGTGTCAATCTTAACTAGACAGTGGCTGTGTCAGAGTAATGTGTAAAATCAGCCTCATCAAATCACAGGATTTTACATTTCAGAGTCAGTATGGTGGCTAAGGTTCGGGGTCCTTTACTTTAGCCGAGTGTTGAACTGGTGGAGTACAAGGAAAATACATTTAAGTGAGAACAGCTCGGTGTATTCTTATTAATGGCAGTTGAAATGATTGTCTACTTTGAGAACTCTGGTGCTAATGTTATGTTAGACATCAACGTAGTGGAGTTGGAAAAGTCAGAGAAGGAATCAAGGTTTAATGTTTTATTTGTAACTTTAGAGAGTTCTTAAAATATTGTTTATGCTGTACTAATAAGGTGATTAAACCACAAACCATCAGTTTACAGTCGATAAAATGTCATGATAGAGAAACCATTCAGGTTTACAGTTGGCAGACTGTTGGTGAAATGTTACAAGTACAAGTTACATTTTGTGTGAGGGTCTGAGACTTGTTTAACACCAGCCGAATAATCCTAGGATATCAATATCTAGGATATGAATATGTTGAAAAAATATTAAAAAGACTGCCACTCAAGGTGAAACTTATAGCAGTTGTCGTACGACGGAATCTTTACATCCACTGTCGATCTCTCAAAATCTACACAATCTCGATTCTGGATATTTGACTTGACGGAAAGATTCCATTCCATCTCTATGTTTTATCAAAAGATGACTTTTTGGCGCTTCGGTCGGAATAGTTAAAATATTTGGCATCGAGGCAAACGATTCATAAAGTCAATAGTCAACATTTTGCATTTTGAAAACATTAGCAATATGTTTCCAAATCCATAATGAAGGAGTGAAATATGCATATAACTGCAATACACACTACTTTAAATCTTATAAAATCAGAACATATTAGCAATTAGCATACAGTACTATCACACAAATTCTAAATAAAACACAGTCTCTAAAATCTGCTGTTCACAATAATGTCTTCTTCTAGCTCAACACATGGGGCTGGTCCACATATTACGTACTCAACACATGGGGGTCGTCCACATATTACGTACTCAATATTTTAGCAATTTTTACCCCCATCCCCCCCTCCGTAATCAACCGTAATCAACCGTAATCAAGACCCACCCCCCTTCTGACAGCAAAATTAAGTAATAATGGCCTGACCCCACCCCCCCCCCCCCCCCCCTTTTTGACTTTTTCCCTGGAAAACACATTTCTGTACGTTTCATGAGTGAAAGTGAGTGGAATTTGAATTAAAATATTGTCAAATTGTTATTATTCAAATCTGAGCCAGGTGTGTTCATTACCAGATTTGTCGGCTGCAAATAATTTGCTACATAGACCTTTAATCAAGCGAGAGTTCACAAAATATACTACTTGTTACTGTATTAGTATATGTATATTTGTGATGGAAACAAAATCAAATATATTATGGCACTAATGTCTAGTGCCTATTCTGCTGTTAGGAGAGAAATCATTGAATCGATTTTATGATTGAACTTAAAAGGAAATTTGAGCAGGTGCTTCTTTACTGGGTCGCGCTCAGCCTGTAATTCCGCCAAATCTTTATTCGGCGGAATCTTTATTATATGTTTATGAACATTATAGCCTGGGGTCCCCAGGTAAGTGCTCGTAGATTATCATTAGCTAAAATCACAGTGATATTTAAATAAAATGACATTATAAAGTTTGTGAATACTATTTAATTCTAACTGAGTAACAACAGCAATTAAATACAGGTGGTTCTGCCAACCACCTCCTTTATAGAATTTAATAATCAACAGTAAAAATAGAATGGCCTCTAATAAGGATTTCGCAATATCGACCATGACGTCATGCTCTGAAAATAGTCCTGACGATTTCGTTTTTCTCGAAACCATGTACAGTAAAACCCCAATTTACTATTAACTTTTCCCGCAAATTGTACGGTGAATCGGGTTTTTAGTGTACGTAGGACGTTAAAAACGGTTTGATTTTTGAGCTTTTAAGTTGTCAGAAAACAAAATGGTCAAACACAATCGGTTGGACACAGCTTTAACTTTAAGTCGAAGCTGGAAAATGAAATCTACGTTACACAGAATCCAATTAATTAGCAATTATTAATATTAAGTGTCAACATTATATATATGTATTCCTTTAAAAAGCACAAAACCCGGACAATAAAATCAATTAAAAATAAAGATAAATTTAAAAACTAAAGCAAATTCATCTGACAAATCACTAGTTATAAGAAAACGAAATGTTCAATCCACCAACAAGGTATTTTAAGACAATTGCGTGTAATACCAAATGTTATCATGCTTCATAGTCCCCAAGTATATACTTCAGTCCATACATAATATCACGTGACGTCATAACATCACGCGACTTCATAACATCACGCGACTTCATAACATCACGCGACTTCATAACATCGTGTGTCTAACAGTAAACGAGGCTAAATATTGGAATAGTAGATAGTATTAATATATAAATTATAATATATTATATATTCTCAATAGTATTTCCTGAATAAAGAGTATTATATATATATATATGTGGAGAGAAGATGTGTAGGATACAGTACTCGAGTAAGAACAGTGTGCCTCGTGAGTCATGACGTGTAAAAGCTGTAGGTACTTCGCACGACAATAGCTGGGTAACGGAACATCGTTCACACACGTTTCATGTACCTTCTTAGGTTTACAATTACGGATAATGGGATATTGAGTAGGGAATGTTAGGACATGATTGGATCTCGTGATAGAAAGTGAGAATAGTTCATCACGTGTAATACTCAGCAAGTTATACCATGAGCTTATAGTTAGGGCAAGAATTGCTGTTTATGGGTCAATCTGTGAACAAATTCGTAACAAAGGTTTGTCTACAGGAATGTGTTGTCCATAGTCCCAGGAACCACAAAAAAAACCGTCCAGCTGAAACTTTTGGGCAAAAATTTTTATAGTCATTTTTCTCCAGGAACCCATACGCCCCACCCCTAATATTGGTTATTCGGCTCCCGAAGGTCTTGAGATCTCCATAGGGGGTGCAAAATGACCGCAATGGCCACATTATGGCAGGCGAATGATAGTTTCAGAACGATTGGAGCTTTATTTTTCGAAATAAATGGAATTTTTCGAATTTTTTCTCAATTTTATTGAAATTTCGAAAAAAAATACACCAAATTATTTTTAACGCTTATTTTAAATCTATTCAAAAACTTATCTACAAATAACAAATACAGTTAATCTTAAATGTGTATTCTCAGTAAGTACCACGACAATTATTAATACACAGTTAATATTAATCAAAATTCGCTTGTTCTTCAGGTTCATCATGTCTAATGTTTGTGCAGTTCATACCATGGCATCGTCCACAAGCTGGCAAACAATTGAAGCCATATTTCCTACATGAACATCTGAAAGTCAAACAGGCCTGTTCCACATCGACAGATCACAGAACAGTTACAACATATAAGGTTCAAAATAGACTCTGGTGCAACTGGTTCGTAAGTGCCACCAGGAGCCAATTTCCAGCCGTAGTCAAGGTGATTCAGACTGTCAGTGTTAAGCAGGACTCAGTTATGGTACTGTAAGTAAGCTCTAAGGATGTGCTCCGTTGCTGAAGCTATTGTTGGAGGTAGCCTATTCGGATTGAGACTCTTTTTCGCTACCATCCTATTGTATGCTAGGAATCTCAAAGCAAAAAGAGTCTTTTTCTTGTCACCATAAATGTACTGCAAGAAACAGAGGCCTGCCTCAATAATCTTTTCTTTTGATTCTCTAACCGAAAGCAATGAAGCCAACTGACCTTGCTCATCAAAGGTGAGAGCTTTCTTTAGCACTTTAACCTTGCTAAAACCAAACAGTCCACTGACGCTATCACAACCTGAAATACTATGAATTAGAAGAAGTATCTCCTTTTCTTTATGATCTAGATGACTTGATATTTCTTTGATTGAATATTTACCCTTCTTCGTTGTTGGATAAATATCATTGTGATGGTCACTGTTGAAATGATGTACTAATAGACTTGAACTATATCGGTATCCTCTGCCTTCAATTCAACATCGCCAAGGAATGACATTTCCAATGTTTTCTTTGCAATTAAAGTATCAGCATCGTTACAAGCTCTGATCACTTCAATACCATTTACAGTAAAAATGCTTGAGATAAGGTCGATCAGTTCTTTTTTGTTATTGTTGTTGCTCAGAAATTTTGTTTTGGTGACAGTACAAAAGGTGGATTTTTTTACAGCAATATTAGCACAGAACGCTTTTACTCTCCTCTTGTGCTCGTGATCTTTAGTAGAAGGCTCATATCCATCAAAAATCACAGTAACTTCCCGATTTTTAGGGATAAGCTTCAAGTACTCCATTGCTACCACACCATAACTGTCCCACCCTTTAAATGAGCTTAGTTGGTGAATTAGCCAACCTCCATCAATGACTAGTGGGATCGTGAAGCTGAAAGATTTAAGTGTAGATTGGTTTATACCAAGAGCAGCCTTATTAGATTTCCTCATCATCTGATATTGATCAAATAAGCTCATCGGCACCACAGTTAACTCGTATGTTAGGCATTCCTCTATTGAAGTCTCTCTATCAGCAACCAAGACTAGACGGTTAAAACACTTCAACGGATCGACTGCAACGCTTTTATTATTCACTTTAACCTGCTTTCTTAGTTGTGTCAAGTTCTTTGCTTTACCTTTGATACTTATCTTACCGATGAATGTCAACCCATCTAGCTCACGTTGAAGGACAGCCCCAACGGCCAAACATTCCTCGGGATTCACCTCATCGTTCCCAGGCTGTGATATAAGACCAGTCGAAAAAGATATTAACTTAGTCTTATCTTCGGATTCTGTAAAGTCGACAGTAACTTTAAACCAAGTTAATAATTTTCCAAATACATCACAGTTTTTCTTGATTGATGACTTGGTAAGATCTGAGTGGATGGCAGCTTTAGTTGGTACTCCTCGCTTCGATGAATTAGCTAATGAATCTCCAAAAGACTGATTTATTAAAGCCATCTGATTCAGGGTGGCCACCCATAACTTGTGAGCGGACTCACGATTACGCATCCTTCCACTTGTTAATCCACCACTAGATTTAGCTGCCCTCATAAGACTCTGCTCTATGGAGAGGTCAGGCCACACTCCGGCCCACTCGTGGTCGTTGTAACAAACCGTGTGAAGCCCAGTTACTTTAAAGGTCTTTTAAAGCGCCCCATACTTGACTTTAAAAATAGCATCCTGCTCCAAATACAGTCTTAAAGCTTTTGCATACTGTCCCCTCCCAGCTGCTGCGAAGTAGGGCAGCATCAAAGCTACTGCTGATAAATGCATATTGTAGTCGTGCAACCTCTCTGCTCTTATGAAGTCCTTTACTAGTGTTATCATGTTGTGGTAAGTAACCCATAGAGCTGCTGTTCTACTGTTTGAAAACAGGTTCTTTAGAAGCAGAGTTATTTTCTCTGATAGATCCTGAATAGATTTAGTCTTAAAGTTAACGCCTATATTTTCGTTCACACATTTGTTGATGTAACCTTCCAAGTCTACTAGTTCATCGTCGTAAACTTCTTCCTCTATAATGAAACAACAAAGAGCGGCGTCGATCAGAAAGTGGGCTCTCAACGCTTTATAGTAAGATCATCCATCCGATATATGCGTGACGTCTCCAGGATACACGAGTTTGATGAGCTCCTCTAAACCCGAGTCTGCCATTATATAGCCTATGCAGCCAAGAAAACTCGTGAGAGTGTGGAAGCCCCCAACCCTGACCACAATATGCATCCCAGTTTCCAGTACTATTCGGGTGGCCTTAATCCACAATGGCAAATCGAATGTGATTATCATCGGCTCACTGTAGGATAACTTAAGACATTCAACCAGAGTAGCATGTACCGTCGAATAGCTGTCTGGGGGTTGGTCAATAATCTGTTGTTTGTTAGTTAACCTTGATATTTGTTAATTGAAGTTATTTCCCGAGTAAGATTTGAAATAAGCGTTAAAAATAATTTGGTGTATTTTTTTCGAAATTTCAATAAAATTGAGAAAAATTTCGAAAAATTCCATTTATTTCGAAAAATAAAGCCCCAATCGTTCTGAAACTATCATTCGCCTGCCATAATGTACTATACACAATAGTATTTCCTGAATAAAGAGTATTATATATATATATATGTGGAGAGAAGATGTGTAGGATACAGTACTCGAGTAAGAACAGTGTGCCTCGTGAGTCATGACGTGTAAAAGCTGTAGGTACTTCGCACGACAATAGCTGGGTAACGGAACATCGTTCACACACGTTTCATGTACCTTCTTAGGTTTACAATTACGGATAATGGGATATTGAGTAGGGAATGTTAGGACATGATTGGATCTCGTGATAGAAAGTGAGAATAGTTCATCACGTGTAATACTCAGCAAGTTATACCATGAGCTTATAGTTAGGGCAAGAATTGCTGTTTATGGGTCAATCTGTGAACAAATTCGTAACAAAGGTTTGTCTACAGGAATGTGTTGTCCATAGTCCCAGGAACCACAAAAAAAACCGTCCAGCTGAAACTTTTGGGCAAAAATTTTTATAGTCATTTTTCTCCAGGAACCCATACGCCCCACCCCTAATATTGGTTATTCGGCTCCCGAAGGTCTTGAGATCTCCATAGGGGGTGCAAAATGACCGCAATGGCCACATTATGGCAGGCGAATGATAGTTTCAGAACGATTGGAGCTTTATTTTTCGAAATAAATGGAATTTTTCGAATTTTTTCTCAATTTTATTGAAATTTCGAAAAAAATACACCAAATTATTTTTAACGCTTATTTTAAATCTATTCAAAAACTTATCTACAAATAACAAATACAGTTAATCTTAAATGTGTATTCTCAGTAAGTACCACGACAATTATTAATACACAGTTAATATTAATCAAAATTCGCTTGTTCTTCAGGTTCATCATGTCTAATGTTTGTGCAGTTCATACCATGGCATCGTCCACAAGCTGGCAAACAATTGAAGCCATATTTCCTACATGAACATCTGAAAGTCAAACAGGCCTGTTCCACATCGACAGATCACAGAACAGTTACAACATATAAGGTTCAAAATAGACTCTGGTGCAACTGGTTCGTAAGTGCCACCAGGAGCCAATTTCCAGCCGTAGTCAAGGTGATTCAGACTGTCAGTGTTAAGCAGGACTCAGTTATGGTACTGTAAGTAAGCTCTAAGGATGTGCTCCGTTGCTGAAGCTATTGTTGGAGGTAGCCTATTCGGATTGAGACTCTTTTTCGCTACCATCCTATTGTATGCTAGGAATCTCAAAGCAAAAAGAGTCTTTTTCTTGTCACCATAAATGTACTGCAAGAAACAGAGGCCTGCCTCAATAATCTTTTCTTTTGATTCTCTAACCGAAAGCAATGAAGCCAACTGACCTTGCTCATCAAAGGTGAGAGCTTTCTTTAGCACTTTAACCTTGCTAAAACCAAACAGTCCACTGACGCTATCACAACCTGAAATACTATGAATTAGAAGAAGTATCTCCTTTTCTTTATGATCTAGATGACTTGATATTTCTTTGATTGAATATTTACCCTTCTTCGTTGTTGGATAAATATCATTGTGATGGTCACTGTTGAAATGATGTACTAATAGACTTGAACTATATCGGTATCCTCTGCCTTCAATTCAACATCGCCAAGGAATGACATTTCCAATGTTTTCTTTGCAATTAAAGTATCAGCATCGTTACAAGCTCTGATCACTTCAATACCATTTACAGTAAAAATGCTTGAGATAAGGTCGATCAGTTCTTTTTTGTTATTGTTGTTGCTCAGAAATTTTGTTTTGGTGACAGTACAAAAGGTGGATTTTTTTACAGCAATATTAGCACAGAACGCTTTTACTCTCCTCTTGTGCTCGTGATCTTTAGTAGAAGGCTCATATCCATCAAAAATCACAGTAACTTCCCGATTTTTAGGGATAAGCTTCAAGTACTCCATTGCTACCACACCATAACTGTCCCACCCTTTAAATGAGCTTAGTTGGTGAATTAGCCAACCTCCATCAATGACTAGTGGGATCGTGAAGCTGAAAGATTTAAGTGTAGATTGGTTTATACCAAGAGCAGCCTTATTAGATTTCCTCATCATCTGATATTGATCAAATAAGCTCATCGGCACCA